GATTGCGTGCTGTATATTTTTATTATTCGTGTCTTTTTATTGCTAAATATATAAGTAATGTTGTTAAGGATATTTTCGATTTTAAATTGAGATTACTAGTTAACTTATTTGTTAACAAGAATAACGATTGACTTTCTACGTAGAGATGTCTTCATCATGCCTGCACGATGTTGCGTTCCAGCATGCAAATCCAATTACGATGGCACTAATGAATATGTATCAGTATTCAAATTTTCAAAAGATACAGTAAAACGGGATTTATGGATCGAAAAAATTCCAAGGAAAAATTTTATTTCAAGTGATCGCAGATGAATTCAATGTAAAAAACATTATTCAATGTGAAAAACAATCCGAAAAGATGATATTATTCGCTATGATTATTTACCAACAAACAAAGGTACTTTTATTCAGATGGTAAAGGGCATCCTAATTAAATAACGATGCTTACCCATGCATTTTTCTGGTTGTCCAAAATACTTATCTGAAAGTCCAACCCCTCAGAGGATGAGCAGGAGGAAAAAAAAGCTAAGATGGAGAAGAATATTTTTAATGAATTTTTGAGAAAGGACAAAACAGCATCATTTGAGGATTTTTCTTCTATGTTACCAAATAAATTAAATATTCAGATATTTCAAATATTATTTTACACAAATCTGTTGCTGGTATTTATATTCATTGCTCAGTTTTCATCCATATCCTAAAATTGAAAAAGTATCTTTGTATCGCTCATATAGATATAGCAGTTTATCTAGGAGATAAAGTTGTTCCAGTTGAAAGTAAAGAACCAGTAAAGAAGTTGAACAGCATTCTTTACTGGTCAAACTTACCAAGATATATGTACACAAACATTAACATGTTTGATGTTCATGAAACTTGTTTAATGTGTGGAATTCCCTTTTCTAGCAGATTAAAAAAAATAATGAGCACCGTTTCAAATATTTGTTTAAACAATTATACTAAAGTTCTTCAAAATAATATGCATACAAAATCGATGAAAGGAAAACTTAAAAAAATCAAGAATACATGATTGAAAAGATATGAGTATGTAAATGACATTGTTTTATTTTTTAAAAATAGTGTACTAAATATGATGCAGTTCAAATATATTTTCAATAATGTATCTTTTACATTTAAATTTATTAATCCTTTTGCTGTTTCCTTATTATTTGATAATACTTCATAATTTTTCAAAATAAATTATCAATTGCGATTAATTATTGCTTCAGTATACTAGTACAACTTGCACAGGTTTGTTCATGGTTTGTTCTATGTATAGTTGTTTTGAGGTTTTCGTTGGCAAATTTATTGATTTTACGCTTTTGTGAAACATTATATGGATGGCTTTTATTTGTAAATATATTATTTATTATGCATCTACATATAACTAATAATGTAAATATTATTAAATGATGTACATATCCTTATAATTATTGCTATAGATAGCATATAAATATGTGAAAATTATTCGTTTTCTGTAATGTTGCAGTAATTGATTTAATTTACAGTTTTGAGATTTAAATTTTTTCTGTGGCTTTTCTGTTCATTTTATTAGATAGTAATTTAAATGAATTAAAAATACATTTGCATAATGTTTGGAAGCTCCGAAATATTTATAGTTTTAAGGAAAAATTATTTTTTATGTCTTAATTTGCTAAATTATATTTACTTTTGTTAGTGAATTATTTATATTTCTAAATCTTTTCATTCCTCTCCTTCTCAAACTAATTTTTATGTTAATAAATAACAGCCTTTTTATTTACTTATTTCAAAACTTTTTTTTTTAGTGTATCCTAACAATTATTACATACAGTGTAAAAAAAATGCACAAGATAACCTAAAACATGGCATAGAAAATTTCGTGAATATTCTTAAAAAATAATATTTATTAAGTTATTAATCTTAACTGCAAATGAATATACGACCTTTTATATACGTTTTCAAGTCTCTGAAAATTTAGTTATTATGCATTATTAAAAACAAAACACTCTAAACATCGAACGAAACGCTCGCATTCAAATCTGAAGCAAAGAAAGTCACGGAAGAATCGGACGCCTTTCGTGACGTCACTCGTAGCTAACCAGGCCATGTTATCTCGAAGGCCATGCAAATACCCACACCAATGAAAATGTGCATTGCTGAAAGCCCACATAACCAAAACGGCACTTTTTTTTTTTATCATTATAAAATGCATTTATAATTGTTTGACATGCTTAATTAGTTCATCAAAAATTCGTTAGACATACTATCTAATCAAGATTTTCCCACTCTGCAATTCTATAGCTAAAATAGTAAATTATCCCTTTTAAATGGTTAAGAAATATTTTCAAATGATCTTTAATATTTCATTCCTTTAATTTTCCAATTATTGAAAATTTTTAAAATATTTAAAATTCTAGCTAAATCATCAGATAAAAATAATTCAAGATATAGACTAATGAAAATGCAATAAAGGAGTTTTTTAACTTCAGTTACAAAATCTCTGGCTCTCCAGTTCCCCCCTGATGTTCTTTGGTACCCTAAGTACGAAAGAACACCATCTTCTCTTTAACTGTTTTTTCTCTCAGGTGGGCAAAAGGAACGGAAATGTTTCCCTGCTTGAATAACCAGCAGCCAGTTAGAAAACTTTATCACAAAGCCCATTTACAAAGAGCGCACATCTTCAGGAAATCCAAAATACTTATGACTTTCTGAAAAATTTTACAAATAATATTTATGATTAAATATGAAATTTCAAGTGGGAATGGAGTTAATTAATGTAAAATCGAAGTAATCAAATTTAATTGTATTATCTGAAACCTTGCTTTTAATTTGTTCCTAATCATAATAGAATAGGTACTTTTATCTCTTTTGTTGAAATAAAAGTTCAGCTTTTATTTACCAATATTAAATTCATTATATACAAAATTTTCTGCACTGTTAAATAATTTATTAATTATTCTCTGTACAGATGAAAATTTACATGCATTTTATACTCCTTACAATTTTGCAGGTTTTAAAGAAGCAGTGTGACAAGCATTCCTTTTCACCTCTCTGCCAGACTTGTACGAGGGACACTTCCCTTTGTCACGTAAATATAATAAAATTACACAGATATATGTTTTTATGTCAATTTTTACTCTTTCCTATATACACACAGAGTTTTAATTCAGCTGGAGCCCAAAACACAATGAGATCTGTTATTTTATTTCTACATGAATCTGCTTTCTATAACTGGAGGGGGGGGATTAATTTCAACGAGGCACATACTTTCTCAGTGTGGACTTATACGTGCACTTTTGTATTTGTCAGGTGGGCAATTATCACAGTGGGCTGCTTTTTTGGGGGGTGGGTAGGCTTTTGTCTCGTCACTGACAGATCAGTTACTTTACTATAGGCAGGCACGACTTTCCACAACTCTAGCTTTTGGTGTTCAGAGGTATTCCAGTATTTAAGAACTTTATACATTCTGAAGAGTTTTATCCATCAGCAAAAATAGTAAAATGTTTTATGTTAACAAATTCTGACTAATATTTCTATAGTCTAACAGTCTTAGCTGAACAAATAGTCCCCTCTAGTTACATATTCTTTAAAGGAAAAAAATATGATGTGTACACCCCGACTTCCTTGTACGGAATATTAAATTATACGCATTTTTTTCTTGCATTTCATTTAAACTTATTGGATTGAATTAAATCTACTTTGGTGACAGCGCATAAACCACAATGGAATAAATGCATTCTTTAAAATTCACTCTAGTATTTGCTTACCATAGCAACACTCTGGCGCTATGGTAAGTGAATCTATCACTTAACAGTATTATATTTTGTTTATATTATAACTCATAATGCACAAAATTTATATAATTTAAAGAATAGAATTATCTAATCATTGCCACATGTTCTATTCCAATAACTATAATGAAGCTAAAACGATGTATAAAAGAAATTAAGCAAGCAAAACAAAACAAAACAACAACAACTAAAAAAAAAAAAAAAAGAAACAGTTTTTTCACAGATGATTGAGTATTTCTCATTCAATTAATTTCAGTTCTCAATTCACGACAAGGCAAAAATACATAAAAAGTCTAGAATATCTGTATTAAAAATTACGAAGTAAATCTTAAACACTTATTTCCTCGAAAAAATTCCAGAAAGGATTAAGCATGATTTAATTCGGCAATAATAAATGAAGGCGTTATCTTTGTTGTTGCGAAGCTAAGTTTCTCTAGATTGGCAACAAATCCACTATTTCTGCTGTTTCAAATGTAAACAATCAATGGCCTGCCATCAAAAAAAATTATTAAGCCTTAGCGGCTCTCAAACAACTTTTAAAATTAATGATAATTCTAAAAATATTACATGCAGATTTCCTAAAGGCATAAAATCCTTAACCGGCAGATAAGAACAACATAATTTCAATCATTTTTAAAGCAAAAATGTACAATTTACAAACATATAAGAGTACAGAAACTGAGATCATTGAGCCGGGTAACAGAGTGGATATATATATAAATATATTTATGTACGTTTGGTGCAGCCGACTGCAACCAAAATACGAGGTGCACATCTACATGTTATAGCAGTCCTATATACAAAATTTCAATGTTCTGAGGCTACTCCGTTTTGAGTTATGCGAGATACGTATGTACATACGTTCGTACAGACGCCACGAAAAATTCTCTTCAGAATTAATTTTAAAGCAGTTTTATAGTTTTTTTTGAGGAAATGCGTCTTTTATTATGTTCTTACGTACAGATATCTTGCAAAAACATCGTTAAATTGCATTCGATAGCGGTCAAAATGGATATTTTCTTTTAAATATGCTGTGTGAAACTTTTCACGATTACAATACTTCCTTTTTACTTTGTACAAGGAAGTAAAAAGAAAGAATGATTTTTTTCTTTCAATGGAACTCTTGTTATTATTAGCTGAAAAATAACCAACACATTTACAACAAACTGCATAATCAAAATAATTTTTATTTAGATACGAGTCTTGAATGAAGAAACTTACTAGAACATGTTTAATTGCAGAAAAATTAATTTTATTATTCTTTACAGCATTTGAAAACACACCTTACATTAAACAACTGCCTGGGTATGAAGCTCCAGGTTAGAAATTTGATCACAGAAAAAAAAATACTGATTTTGCTTTAATTTATATTTATTATATCAGAATGCACATATGAAAAAAGCAAAAATATAAACATGAGGTTACAAACACGAATGATGGATAAACTAGATAACTACATGATATAATGCTGCTTGAAATTTACAGTAAAGTTGAAGACTTCCTAAAGAATACACACGACATATGGTTGCAGGGAAAAAATGAATTGACATATGAAACGAATGATATATTTAACGAGACTTGCTTCTACTAATGCTGCGATCACTCGCATCACTTCTGTTGTTTTCTTTACTTGGGCTGCGGCTACTACTCTTTCGAGGGCTGCGACTTGCACTTCTGCTCTTTGCATTATTCTCAATATTGTTGTGCTTATCATCCTAAAATATAAAAAAGGACACTTAACTATTTTAACACATGGACCTCAGAGGCACAGAAATTCTGAATTAATAAATTTTAGATATAAGTACAAAATATACTTAAATTTTAATGTCTAATTTAAAAGTAGCAGAAAAATTAAGCTGACAAGTCACTCACTGTATTATACCTAAAAATATTAATATTCTGCACTGCAATGCAGTGTCCATTTGGAAAGTGATACTGAAAGCTACTAATATGGCAATACTTCTAATTTTTGAAAAGCATTTTTTTTTCTTTCAAATGGACACAATACAATATAAGAGGCATTTTGCATGCATTATCTTTTGATCTCATATAAAAATGTTAAACATCATGTTAACCCCTTAACTGCCGCGGATGTATATATACGCCTTGCTCAGCCTATGCGTTAACTGCCCCAGGCGTATATATACGTCCTTCCAAACTGCTATCATTTGCTGTGCGCTGCTACACCTAAAATTATTCGCAAAGTTAACGCATCGGCTGAGCAAGGCGTATATATACGCCCGCGGCAGTTAAGGGGTTAATACAAGCGTGTAAAATGTCAACAAATAGCTTATTTAATTCAAAATTAAAATACAGACTTTATCTGTGAAACAAATTATAATTTTCTTTAAATACAGAAGAATTTTGATTAGAACCAAAAGTTGCAATTAGAGAATTTTGCCGATTACCAGTCATATCTTTCTCAATTCTGCTTATGTTTTCCTCTCTCCATTTTTATACTGAATTGTTCACATATAACTAATAAAAAAACTCAAGAATTATTGAATATATGTAGCGTATTCGGAAACTAAGTATCGTTTCATTCTAGCGTCGTCGCAGCGCTGTGGTAGGTGTCCCACGCATGCACACTAGTCTTTCTTGTTCACTGACTTTCAATTGTCGCCATTTTGGTTGCTCTATGTTGTGTTTTCAGTTTGCTGTCATATTCAAAATGTTTAAGACATTAGTTCTCCCTGACTGTGAGACTGCCTTGATTAAATTTTGAACACGAGGAGTGTTAAACCGTGAAATTTATCGTCAAGTGACAGAATTTACTGTGAATACGTGAACGTGATGGAAGGTGAGAAAGTTGGTAAAAATGTTTAATGAGGTCGAAAAAATGTCCACGCGAGGCTCGGAGTGGTCGGCCTTCTGTTGTCACCATGATTTGGTAAGGTTGATGAAGCACTTCATGAGAACGCCTCACAGTGACACTCTTCAGAGGCATTTCCACAATTTCACGTACTTTTTGTTCGAAATTGTGTCTGAGGCTTGAATTATCGCAAACTGTGTTCCCGATGGGTCCAAAAATGCATGATATTCAAAAACAAAGCGACTTACTTGATAGTGCCTGACATTTCTCAAGAGGTACATTGATGAGGGAAAAACTTTTTAAACCAAATTGTGAAGGTGATGAACTTGGGTGTGTCATTTCCACCAGATCGAAATCAATGGAGTGGAGACCACTCATTCTCCGAAAAACAAACGTTCAAAGTGATAATTCATACAAAAATCATTGGCACGTCTTCTGGGATAGGAAAGTTTTGCTACTGAGTTCTTCCCAGAGTGAAAACAATAAGCGGCACAATATTATGAGACTTTAAAAAAACTAGGTTTTGCCATTCAAACCAACGAAGAGGATGCTAGTAAGGAATTGTGTTGCTCCATGACAATGCCGCCCCATACTGCGTGTCATCATCGTTAATTCGACAGTCTTTGGGAGCCGTTCGATCAACCCGCCGTCAGCCGGACTTGGCGCCGTCCGACTATCACTTGTTCCTGCACATGAAGCGGAGCTTGGCGGCAAGCGCTTTGGATCTGACGATGAGACGATAAATGCTGTGGAGTCGTGGTTATCGAAACTGGCGGGAAGTTTCTTTGATGATGGTATACAAAAACCCGCTATGACAAGTGTTTGATCATTGGCGGAAACTATGTTGAAAAATAGTTTAAGACATGTATTTTCATGTAAAAATAAAATTGAATTTGAAAAAATTGTTTTACTATTTTTTTTTCCCCCCAAAACGGTACTTAGTTTCCGAATACGCCTCGTATATATTTTTAAAATTCATTAAACTCCTTCCCCAAAAAAACCACTGAGTATAAGTGAATGGGGAGGAAAAGAGATAAATGATGAAAACACTGTTTTGAGGAAGTAAAGAAGACTTTTATAAAAAGCACTGAGTTTTACTTAAAAAATTGCATTCAACTAACAGTTAACACGCCTTTTAATGTTTCGTTATAAGAAGAAAAATATAATATAAATAATAAATATAAAATAAGAGAGATGTATATCCAACATTTTAATTTAAGATGAGTTGCATAATTGCTTTAAACAATTTTATCATCCTACATTAATTATTTAATTCTTAAATGTTATTCATATCCTAGTCAAATATTTTATTTTTGAAATTGCGAGAATCAAATATTAAAAATAAATAAATAAAATTAAATAATTAAAAAACATCTTCTTTAATATAGAAATTATTAGGCTTAAAAAACTCTAAATAATACGATTTAGATTGTTTTCACCAGATATAAGAATCGGGTCACTCGGTCGTACAGGCTAAGTTCTGCTGGAGTGGCTTATTTCTTTTTCATTTAACACACACAAAAGGGAGTCTCCCCCCCCCAGACAGTCTCTCTCTCTCTTTTTCAGACATTCTGCAAGCATATTAAAAGCATCCAACTTTTCGAAACATCTTGGTATTTCTGATATTAATTTTAAATAAAGTTATCGCCTTCCATTTCAAAACGGCCCACTAACGGCTCAGCAGTAAAGTCGCTGAACACAGGTAGTTCGCTCCGGGGTTCGAATCTCGGCGAACAAGCTGGTTGCATGGGCGTTTTCGTGTATACGAGCTGGTTTCACTTAGAAAATTCTTCACAAAGGCATGTTTTCAGTGCTGACACAAGAAAATTAAGATTTTTCGATTTTTACACTTCCATAGATTTTTGCCTTCTTGTCAAATTTTTTTAAATATTAGTTGCAGCAAATGCATTTCAGCTGAAGGCAGCTTTTCATTTTCTATAATTAACTATAAATTTTAACTATACATAAAGTTTAAAGAAATGTCCAAAGGATAAAAATTTTAATTAAAAGATTTTTGTTAAATGAAAAAGAAATAAACCACTCCAGCAGAGCTTATCCTGTACCACCTAGTAACCCGATTCTTATATCTGGTGCAAACAATCTAAATCATACTTAGAATTTTTAAGCCTAATAATTTCTATATTAAAGAAGATGTTTTTTATAATCTACAACACAAAAGAAAATTTCTACTTAAAACATTCTAAGATGATTAATGTAAAAATTTATATTTATATATTTTTCAAAGCTGGGGCATGACCCAAACTGTTAACGTTCTGTTTGCTTAAAAACATTGTGAAAATAAACATCAAACATTCTCAGTTTTAAACAATTCAATTTAAATGCAGCTAAAGTAAAGTAGCAGACGATAACACGGCGAAGGTCAAAATTTACTCTTACAAATGTTTTTTTAAAAGGAAGAAAGAAAGAAATTTTTTTAAAATGTTAAAAATCTGATCTATAATTAAAAAAAAAGTACCTCTTCAGAGTATTAATAAATATTTATTAAACATCATTGAGAGAAAAATATCATAATTTTCCGTAAAAATTTAAGGTTAAAAATAGCTGTGGCAATTCATGTAACAAAATTCATAAACCACATTTGGCATTATTATCACGCTAAGAAAAAGGTGCCAACTTTCGAAATGCGCAGATATGTAAATTCATGTATATCTTAGAAAATCCTGAATAAAAAAATTCTAATTTTTTGCAGGTATGCTTAGAACTACACCTAATTTAAGATGATGGTAAAAATTTTATCGGGTACAATTCAAAATTTTTTTCAAAAAATTAATAAAAATTATTTAAAAATAGAAATTTTAATAATAAAACACAAAAAATGGGTGAATTTTATTTGGAATGAAACTAAATTTCGAAATGTGAAAGGAAAAATCAAAAAGTTTAATAAAACAGGAGATATTAATAAATATATGCCAAATTAAATTAACACTGAGGAGCTAAGATTTTGACAGTTAATTTTTTAAAACTACTCGTACGATTTTTACAAAACTTCGCAGTCTGGCATAATTTGAGTCGCAGAATTGAAATATGTAAAACAATTGGTATGTTATTTCAGAAAAAGCACAATTTTGTGTCAAAATACCCATGTTAGAATAGTGCTATATATAAATCTAATATATATATCTTAAGTCGCGCTTTTGAAACATGAAAAATGCCATTTGAATTTTGTCAATCGGCTCAGTAGAAAGGAGATATAGAACTGCCCCCCCCCTTTTTGCGCAATGTACATAAAAAGTAATATTTAAAAATAAATAGTCTGATGAATATCACGTGTTAAACAAGGCACACAATGAGCACTCTGTTGAGTCATATGACACAAACACTAATGCTTTCTGTATGATTTTTTTAATTACAGCACAACTCTCAGATTTAATATTTTAGTTAAATTATCATTAATATACATGATAGGCTAAGTTCTAGTACAATGTTATTTTAATCTTTTGCAAAACACAAAGCAAGTGACAAACACACGCATAAAAAAACTGTCTTGTATTTAAAACTGAAAACGTATACATACATTCTATTTATACTTCTCATAGGTAACTTACATAATCATCATTTTCTGGACTTTTAGGTGGAGATCTGCTGTCTTTTCGTGCAAAACTGGGAGAACGGCTGGGACTTTTGCTGGGAGTACGACTTCTTGAATGAGATTTACTGGGAGCACGCAATTTTGATTTTTTAGACAACTTTTCAGATTTTCTCCGACTTTTCCCATGAGACCTGCAAAATATCATTCAGAATAATAATTAGTATTTTAAAAATCAACTACATAACACATTTTCTGGCATATAACATCTATAATTTCAAGCTACATTTTAAAATTTTCAGGTATATTTGCCTTATAACACGTTTCCAATTCTTCACAAAGAAACCTAAAAGACACATTTTATCTTTTGAGATCACTTATTCGAAGATTTGCCCTAGCCTTTCCAACTATGGTATACTGAATAAGGAGAACAATATGTGTGTAGGTTAAATGCTTGAGGGAGTAAATATTCCTGCAAAGAGGGTGGACTATATTCAATGCAAGTGTCCAAAAGAATGCTACTGTATTTTGAGAAAAGGGGGATACAATTTGGAGTAAGAATGCACTTCCAATTTGAATGAATTTGTGGAATTAGGAGTTAGATGCATTCATTTTGCGAAAGAAATGGAAATCGTGCTGCAGCAAGAATGCTTGTTGTTTATGACAGCTCCATACCTGAGCAGAAAAAAAAATGAAATTATGATAAATACTATGCCAAAGAATAACTGTGCTTTGAGTGAAGTAGTAACGAAATGGCCTTCCCCATAAGAAAGTGTTGCAAACTGGATCCTAGAAAAGCACCAAAATGGATTAATTATGATGAAACACAGTTTATATGCCTTAAAGTGAGCGTAAAAGAATGCAAATGAAAGTGAAAATATTAAAACAACCTTAAGTTGATGCAGTAGATTTATGGCATGGAATAATTTAGTTCTACGAGACGGGGGGGAAGATTTAGAAAAAAATTGATTTAGTTTCCAGAAGTATGTTATTGACCTATAAAGGGGAGGGGGAATTACTGTCACATATTGGAAACATGGATGAAACTAATAATGTTTGATGTTATAGGAAATAAAATAATTTATGTGAAAGGAACAAAAATGTTTCACATAAAAACAACAGGTCACGAAAGATCTCGCTTCACAGTAGTGCTGCCCTGCTTAGCGGATGGTTCAAAATTAAAACCCACGGTCATTTTGAAAAGAAAGATGATACCAAAATGTGATTTCCCAAATGGTGTTTTCATTCACGTTCATTCATGGATGAGCAAAAATGGTATGAAATTGTGGATAAGAAATGTTTACCCAAAGTGTCCTTTAGTCTTAAAAAATCCAGAAAGTCTTAGTCTGGGACATTTTCAGATCTCATCTAACTGATAATACAAAGAAATTACTGAAACACTGTAATACAGACATTGCAGTTATTCCAGGCAGATTAACACCATTAGTTCAGCCTTTAGATGTAGGTATCAATGAACCATTCAAAGAAAACTTAAAATGACAGTGGAATATTAAAAAGTTAAAAAAAAGTTTCAAAAGGAGGCCAAGTGCAACATGCCAGTTTAGAAATAGTGTACGAGAGGATAATAAAAGCAGGGATTGAAATTATACCAAACTTAAAAGTCATTTAAGAAGTGCAGTACATCTAACAATCTAGATTGAATGGAAGATGATTATCTATTAACAAATCAGATAGAGTAATTGTGAAGATGAAACAATTTGATTTGTCTGAAGATATAACAAAAGACTACTAGGATGAACTTTTCATGTTATCTGATAATGAAAATTAAGTTCATAAGGTATTTCATTTCTTTTAAATAAACAGCATTCAGGTACATATAGAAATCTAATTTTTTAATGCTAATTCCTTATTTTTAAATTTATCACTTTTACACCCAGCATATAACGTACACATAAATTTCGATCATATTTTTTATATTGAAAGTGCATGTTATATGCTGCAATATATGGTAATTACTGTCAAATTAGTATTCTCAATTAAATCAACAAAAATAACCATAACAATCATTCTCATCAAAAATTGATAATTTTATCAATATAATAATTCCACGTTAACTCAGATAAAATTAAATAGCTTTTATAAAAATTCAATACTAGCAAAACTTTTTTTAAATTAAAATTTATGATTTATCAGGCAACTACAAAGTGTAAGGATTAACAACTAACAGTAAAAATTCTATTCCCTCCCCCCCCAAAAAAAACCCCACCCAACACTGAATACCTAAAATAATGTTTCTCAGTAGTAGTTAAAACTGATTCGCAGGAAAATGTTAAAGATGGTTCTCTGCCAGATATATGAAAGGAATCTTAGTAATATACAACTCAAGAGGGACATCGAAGGAATGTAAAAGAAGGGAAGTGAACAAAAGGCCCAAATTTCAAAACATCAAACATATCAGCATTGGCTACTATGAGGAGGAACATACATAACAGTAGTAAGCTGAAATCACATGCTTGGAAGATTTCTTAAGTGTGAAAATACCTGCCACTCTAGGTAGTTTAACGAGAAGCTGCACAAAATATATTTCAAATAATAAATGCAAAGGAAAATAAAACGGATGAAATGCTAATACAAAAATGCACATACAAACTGAACACAAAAATTTGAAAGGATTCAGATTTTAACAATCACCCAAAAGGATTCCTTTAGAGTTTAATGGTTCATGAATAGAGATAGCACACGTGGAATAGCAACATTTTATAGGATATTAGATAATATGCATTTAGACTAAAACGGGAGTATCATATATCTATTGTATATTTAAAAAGTGAAAAACATATAATTCTATAAAGCACTTAATTTTTTAAATTAGTTACATCATGAATTAAACACATTTTAAATTTTATTAAATCAGATTAAAAATTTTAAAAGTAATATTTTTATGATACACGATATCCCTCTACTGCTCCTAAACAGTTTTTAAATTAATAACAGACAGATTAAATATGAAAAAGAAATAGCTCATGTTTTTCCAGGTGGCAATAAACTTAAATGAAAAGTGAGACAATGCAAAGTGATGTTTCAAGTCTAAAGGCCCGTCTACATGAAGCGATTTTCTCAGCCGACTTTCTCGTAGAGCAACAATTTTAAGGATTTGTGCATGCGCCAAAATTTGCGTGATATTTCTTGAATTTTTTGCACTGAAATTACACTGTTGCTTTGTAATGTTGTAATCCTTTATTCTTTATTACTACTTTTTACTCATACTAATTTGATATTCATGACAGTATTCTCTATTTATTCATTAATAAAGTTTTTGATTTAAAGCACAGTAGTTACTTATTTTTTCTGAAACATGGTTATTTTATTAATTCAAGATTTAAGTGCACAAATAGGAGTGCCAGAAAATGAAATTTAAAAATAAATAAATGAAACAAAAAAGGAGTAATCTGTGTACTCAGTACACAAAGGAAAAGCATATTTTTTTTTTAAATTTTGCTGCAAACTAAATTTAGCAAAAAATCAAAATCACGCGGTATCATCCGTAAATATTTTCCGAATTCTACCGCGACTTCAATACGCAACACCCGCAGCAGGGTATTACGAAGGCACCATGAATTTCTCATCGTTTGACCCAATTTTTGATCCAAACGCATTTTCTTTTCTTCCCCCCCCTTCTGCAGCAGTAGCTAAGTTCAAAATTATAGCTGTATCTATAGTAACAATTTAAAGTAAAATAGTCATCAATTATTTTGACTATTTGACAACACTTGTAAGCTTTGTTTACAAATCATAGACAGTGTGACGCTGCAGAGGGCGGAAACACTTCCTTTCACAAAGATTGACAGGCGAGCTATCTCAGAAATTGTCGGCCAGCTAAGTCGGCCGAGAAAATCGCTACGTGTGGACGGACCTTAATAGTAATTCCAATCTCAGGGGGGAGGGGGGGACTCAATTTAGGAATAAACTAGCTCTCAGAAGGGAAAACTATGTTATACAGAGGAAGGGGGAAGTTACGAAAATGCTTTTAAAATTTCAGAATCTAGTAATAAAAAAGCTAAGAAATATATGCGAGAAAATACGACATTATTAATCAATATGACTGCAGCTTTCTTCTTTTATTATACATCTACAATGCACCAATCGTTCCAAGTATTTCTATAACATGCCATGTGATCTATCCTCAACATACTTAAATATACTTTAAAATTTATTACACATACACACATATACCACATACAGTACAAAGCCTTTAATCTGGACGTCCATAATCCGGAATGATCTATAATCCGGACCTCAAAGCTACAAACTTTCTGCGCATGCGTAAACACATCATACCTTTACGCATACGCATATTCGTTTAATGTATAATGGACGGTATAAGCTAGACTAAAATTATCTAATTATCTATTTCAGTTAATGTTGCAGATTGCGTTATTCCTTAATCTTCTAATTGGATCTGGCGTATTATTTTTTGCAGACTGTTAGAGCAATTTTATAAAAAAAAGTAAGCTTGAACTTTTGATTATGTCAAAAAGAGTTTCCGATTCTGGAGCTGCCAAAGGATCTACAAAGCGAAATCATGTTTTGATGTCCATCAAGCAAAAAGTGGAATTGCTGCAAAAAAATGGATAAAGGCATGAAGAAAGTGACAGAGAGGTTAGTTAAAACGAAAAAATTTCGATTGACAAGTCAGTCGGTATTCTCGGCACAGCAATTATAGGACTTGAATAGCGGAACTTTGTAACTGAACAAGAATTTATGTCTGTTTATAGAATTAAAGAGAAAGTATTAGCACACAAAATGAAGCAACTTAATTTACATTGAAAGAAATGTTTAATAAAGTAAACAAATAAATATTAAGCTTCTTTTTTGTAAATTTTGATACCTTTTAGATCATAATTGCTCTTTATTTTATAAACTACGGTTTATATTTTTAATTTAATAATTTCTGCATACCATCTTACCAGATTTAAATTGATGATCTATAATCCGGAAAAAACAGTAATCCGGAATTGCCGACGTTCCGCCGAGTCTGGATTAAAGACTTTATACTGTATATCATTTGTTTCTCTGTTTTTCATTGAAATTTAATTTAGCGACTTTACTACAAGAATTCCCCCCCCTAAATTTGAGTTTCCTCCATAGTCTGCTCAGATACACTTTTACTCTTTTTTTTTTTTTTTTTTTTTGTGATAATACAGTTTTATTACATCATAAAATATTGAGCAGTGTCAATTTAGAATATTCTCAGGATAAGATACTCTTACACTTTAGCTCCACGTACCTTGATCGTGAGCGAGAAACTGATTTGGATGGTGTTACAGATCGGCTGGGTGACCTTGCTTTTACTCTTTTATCTCTGCTTACACTTCTACTTTTATGGCGATAGCCGGAAGAACTCCTTCTGTGACGATCATGACTCCTAGACCGACTATGCGAGATACTCCTCCTAGACAAAATTTTAATACATAAAAATTTATGATAATCATGGCTATCATACAATGCTGTTAATAAGAATATCTATAATTTTTTAAGCAGTTGAAAATATAGAATAACTCATGCTATTAGAAATTTGGTTCTGCACTTCAAATTGCTTTTTTCGACATTGCAGATGCTTGTCACATTGTTTGTTAGAAGTATCATTTGTTAGTACAGCTTCTCATACAATAAAATATATTTCACAACCAGTTTAAATTTTTCGTCACGAATAAGTAAAAAATTTGAAATGTTTCAGATTTCAACAGTTACCCCCAAAGGGTTTAGGATTTTTAATTGTCTCACTGAGCTCGCAGTCTACCAATCTGCTGTTACACTGATCCCACTAATTCTCCATTTTTGTCCTTGTAGCTTTAAGAATAATTTTCTTCGCATTTATGCCATATGCAAGTCAACAGCAAACTTACAACAATTTTCAAACAGCACTATACATTTAGAATTCTCAATGGAGCATTAAGTTTTGGCATACTTTTTCTGTCCTCCCCTGAGTTGAGTCTTTTCTTAGTTCAATCGTATCAATGTTCAGTTTCCTTACTTATAGGGCTTTATAAAGCTCTGTTTTTTTTTAATCTTTTGTCTTTTTATTATCAACATTTTGTGTGTTTATTTATTAATATCATATTCTTGAGAACTATAAAATTCAATTCAACAGCAAAAATCGCAAAATGTTTAAAAACACCCCAGCTTTAGAATTTTCAATGGACAGTCTTGGGCAATAGATATAAAAGTGTTTTTTTTTTCATACAGTGTTGCCACTGCTCACATTCAAATCCAGTTTGCTAATCGAAAATTTGTTAACTTTTAAAAATATGAAATAGATAATAAAACAAATTCAAAATTCGGGCTAGATGCCCATGTTTGGGTAGGGGACAACACTATTCAAAACTTGATAGCTGTTAAGGAATATTCTTTGATATCGCCAAGAGATGGCGTTAGGAGTCCATCTATTGGCTTACTTAACCTTTCCCCTTCTGAACACGTGACTTGAAAAAATATGCTTCTTCTTGAAGGTAGAATTTCGATGCACTACGCAATAGAATTCGATTTAGATTCAAGCTGGAACTATTCAGTTCTTGCCTTTTGAGCATTAAATATTCAATTCAGGCATTTCAGCCTACATTGTATATATGTAAATATTAAGTTTAATTAAAATTTATGGAAAACCCTCCAGGCCATGCATCTCGTCTTTTGGATTATGAGTGATTCGACTTTGATCTAGAACTTTCGTTACATAATGGTGCATCGCCCGGGAAAAGAATCTGATTAATTTGAAAATTTGTGTTTTTCGCCTTTTGGATTAGCTTTGTAAGCGAAGACTTCTCACGTTAAGTCTCCTTTGATAATTTATTAAAATGGAACAGAAGACACTAATTAAGAATCGAGCACATATATGTGCTTCTGTAACTCAAATTATTAAAAATGTAGATGAGTATTTAAAAGAAGAAAATCAAGAAGAGTTAGAAAATTGTTTGGAATTGTTAAACTAGTAAAGAAAACGGAACTACATGATTTAAATGAAAAAATACAAAATTTGATTGAAGATGAATCAAAATTAGATTCAGATATTAACACTTCTATGGAATATAATGATAAAATAATAATAGTAAAGTCTAAAATCAACCGTTATTTAAGGAAATACAATACTCAAAATATCAACACGAATTTAAATAATTCATCTACAGAAGTTGAAACCAAAAGACAAATTGAAGGCAATGTGAAATTGCCCAAACTCTTAATTCACAAATTTTCCGGAGAATATAACGATTGGATGAATTTTTGGAATTCATTCAAGGTCACTATTCAGGACAATGTTACACTTTCGAAGATAGAAATATTTAATTATTTGAGAACTTATTTATGTGGAAACGCAGCATCAGCCATAGAAGGTCTCTCAATCTCAGAGGCTAATTATGACTCTGCTATAGACATTCTTAAAAATAGATTCGGTCAAAGTGATCTTATTATCAATACACACATTTCTAATCTCTTAAATTTAAATCCTGTTCAAAGTTCAAGCGAATGAGTGGCAAAATTGCGAAAACTTTATGATACAATTAACGTTCAAGTCAGAAGCCTTTTAGCATTCAGTGTGAAACCAGAAACATATTCCAACATGTTTATTCCAATTTTGATGAAAATTGTCCGAACGATATAACTTTAGAATTTCATCGTACAAATACTGGAAAATCCTTCAACCTATGATTTAAACAAATTTCTAGACTTTCTCTCGATTAGAAATAGAATCGCGAGAAAAGATTAATTCATTATCCTTTCCACGCAAGTCAAAACCGGAAATGAAAGGTATTAACAGATATCCACCAACGCCGAAACATAAACAAACTGTCACCACACATGAATTTATGGCAGCCGCGTCATCAAATGGAAACTGCATTTTTTGTTTTCAAAACCATGACTCAGAGTCCTGTTTATGCCTTACAGTTAATGAGAAGAGAGATATTTTTAAAAAACAAACGCGTTGTTTTCTTTGCCTGGCCCCTAAACACAAAATCTCACAGTGCCGGCAACGCCAAACTAAAGTTTGTAAAATTTGCAAAGGTAAACATTCAGAAGCCGTATGTTTTAAATCCAGTTCGATAGTTAAAAATACACCAAGTGATAAAAAGGATAGTATATTCAATTTCGAAAAATGATACACAAACTAAGGAACAGAAAGAAGAAATTGTTTCGGCCGTTTCACATAATGCAAATAATACAATTCTTTTACAGACTTGCACGATAAAAGTTAAAACAGCTAAGGAAAAGGTGTTTGCCAGACTTCTCTTGGATAGTGGAAGTATGAAAAGTTTTTGTGCTCGCGAGTTAGCGGACAGATTAAACCTCGAAGTCATAAGAAAAGAAAAATTGACTGTCTACACTTTTGGGAATACTTCTCCCATCCAAAAAAAAATTATGACGTAGTTAAATTAACTTTAGAACATAGAAGTTCTCCCGATTCTAGAATAGAAGTTGAATTATTAGTAACTGATCATATATCAGGTACAGATATTCCACGTCCTAAATCAGAAGAAATTAAGCAAAACAGACAATTAAAAAATTTGCTGCTCGCAGATTTTCCTGATTGTAAAAAACCCATTGCCATTCTAATTGGTGCAGATTATTATCCCAACATAGTAATGGGACACATTAAATACTTAAGCAAAAATCTTGTTGCAGTGGAAACTATTTTCGGCTGGTGCCTACATGGACGAAAAGGTGATGATGATGTCTCTTTAGCTTTCAATGTAGTTGTAGGGGAAGATTTCATTTCCAAACAAATAACAAAATTTTGGGACTTGGGAAAACTCAGGACTTATTGATAAGAGGGAAAACTTACATCAGTTAAAACAGGAACTTACAGGAACGTATTAAGACATCAGTTAAAACAAAATATTATCGAACCAGTTTCAGAAATTTCAAATGAAGAGGATGTCGTGTTACTTGCCACATAGGGAAGTTATACGCGAGGATCGAGCTACAAGTAAATTACGTATTGTTTATGATGCATCATCGCATGCCCCAGGATCCATTTCTTTAAATGACTGTCTACATGTTGGGCCAAATTTATACCCTGAAATATTCGAAATATTGTTAAGATTTCGGTATAATCTAATAGCCTTCACCGCAGATATAAAACAAGCCTTTTTACAGATTCTCATACATGAAAAAGATCGAGACGCAACCAGGTTTCTGTTTTCCGATTTCCCTAATGATGAAACCATTTCTCCTGACATATATAGGTTCACTAGAGTTTTATTCGGAATAAATAGTAGTCCATTTCTATTAGCCGCTACCATTAAACATCATCTGAAAAAATATAATAAACTTTATCCTACAACGGTTAACTTTTTGAATGAGAACGTATATGTAGATGATGTGATTGGAAGCCAACCAACGATCAATGAAGCATTAACTACGAGTCTAGAATCGGTCCAAATATTTAAGGAAGCAAGCATGCAGCTCAGAAATCACAAATGGCATAGTAACTCGAGACAACTACATGAATTGTGGGTAAAAAGGGTATCGTTCCAGATGAAAATCCTGAAGATTTTAATAGAGAAAATTTCCCATTTAAGGTCTTAGGTATGGCATGGGATAATTCAAAGGACTTACTGTATTTTGATGTTCGGAAACCTTATTGTCTTTCACATCTAAACCAATAGAAACAAAACGATTTCTTCTACAAGTGTTGGGTCGGATATTCGATCCGATTGGAATTTTAGGGACCTTTCACTGTTAGAATAAAGTGCTTAATACAGAAGATTTGGTTGTCACAAATAGATTGGGATGAACCGTTACCTGAAGATTTGTCCTCTGAATGGAGAAAGTGGTGTGAAGAGCTACCTCAAATGGCTGAATTCTCCATCTCTCGTTACCTTTTCATGCCACTCGAACATTAATGTCGAAAATCTCGAATTACATTGCTTCTCAGATGCAAGTGTCAAAGCCTATGGTACAGTCGCATATTTACGTTTCATGACAGAAAATAAAGAAATCAAAACGGCCTTTGTCTCTTCTAAAAATAGGGTAGCCCCACTAAAACCCCTTACTTTACCGAGGTTAGAATTAATGGGGGCATTGTTATCAGTTAAGTTAGTCAGCAATATTCTGAAAGCACTGAAATTGAGAATTCCGTGCTATTTTTGGACAGACTCAACAATTACTTATTTTTGGATCCAGAAACAACCTGAAGCCTTCAAACCCTTTGTCAGGAATCGTGTCAAAGAAATACAAAAATTGAGTTCACCTCAAGATTGGCATTATTGCCCAGGTGTCGACAACCCTGCAGATCTCGTATCTCGGGGAACGAAGATTTCCAAGTTAATAAATGAGACCATTTGGACGCAAGGTCCCCAATGGCTTCAACTCCCTCACGAACTTTGGCCAAGATTAGATATTAAAGAAACAATAGATGAAAAAAACAAATTAGAATACCTGAAAGAGATCCGGTGATAT